TTCAGTGGACCATGACTATGATTATATTTTAATTAAATTAGTTATTTTATGTTTATATTAAACATGGTCCATAAACTTGGAAAAGAAATATTGAAGTAAATTAAGCGATACAAGGTGTCGCTTAAGCGATCTCGTCTATTTACCCTTGGTCGCTTAAGCAATTTATTGTTTCGCTTAAGAGATCCTGTCTATTTAGCCTTAGTCACCTTAGTGATAATAAATCGCTTACGCGATCTTGTCAAAGGCAGAATAAAGGTCGAGTACAGTGGATCACTTAAGCGATCCTAGGTCTCTCTTAAGCGATCCAGTGTGTTCAGAGTTAATCACTTAAGCGATGACGTCTAGTTGCTTAAGCGATCACTTACAAGCAAGAATCAGGATCACTTAAGCGATGCTGTACTTTTACCCTTAGTCGCTTAAGCAATCATGTACAAGGCAAAATCAATATGTGCCCAGATGCACGATCGCTTAAGCGATTCCCTTTCTCGCTTAAACGATTTAAGCTTTTACCTTTGGTCACTTAAACGATACAAAATCACTTAAGCGATCAAGTCTGAGGCAGAATCAACACCTGTCCAGATGCACGATCGCTTAAGCGATTGATGTTATCGCTTAAGCGATTCTTCGCTTTTACCCTCGATCGTTTAGGCAATCAAGTCCGAGGCAGAATCAAGATCTGCCAGTTGCACGATCGCTTAAGCAATTAACGATCTCGCTTAAGTAATTCATTGCTTTTACCCTTGGTTGCTTAAGTGATCTACGATCACTGAAGCGATCAAGTCTGAGGCAAAATCCAGATCTGCCAATTGCACGATCGCTTAAGCAATTTACAATCTCGCTTAAGCGATTCTTTGCTTTTACCCTTGGTCACTTAAGCGATCGATAATCGCTTAAGCAACTAAGTATGAGGCAAAATCAATATCTGCCTAGATGCACGATTGCTTAAGCAATTTATGTTATCGCTTAAGCGATTCTTCACTTTTACACCAGGTAGCTTAAGCGATCATGTCCTGGACAGAATCAAGGTCTGCCCAGGTGCGCGATCACTTAAGCAATTTATGCTATCGCTTAAGGGATCCTTTATGAAAAACCCTTTGTCGCTTAAGCGATATATCTAGTCGCTTATATATCACTTAAGCGATCATGGGCAATACATATTTTTTCCAACTTTTCTCCTGAATTTTGACAAACTAAAATTACCAACACATATTAATTCCATACTTTCTCTTCAATTTGACAACCTAATTCCAAACTAAAATCACCAACACATATTTAGGCCATGTAACAAGAATACTAAATATAAAGGATGATTTATTCAAGGTAACAATAAAATTTAAAACATCAAAAATTGAAAACAACAACTCCTCAACAGTTGGCCTAAGCAACTCTCTCGATTTCATCCTTCTTCGAACATAATTTTCTGGATCTGTATGTGTTTGATTCTAGCAACTGCTTCTCTTGTGGCCAGGTTGCTTGAAATTGAGCACTTATTCATCTTCTGGGGAACCTCAGAGGCTGATGGAATACGCTTAACTCTTATTCTCCCATTTTCTGTCTTCTTGAATGGCGGATGGACGATAATGTCAGCCAACTCTAGTGGCTCTCCCCACTACTCTTCTAGAGGAACTAGATAGAGAGGGGAGCAAAGTTCCATGTAGATTCTTGAACCAAAATCTAGCTTCCGTTGGTGGTTCAGTGCTGCTGGTGCATGAGGACAAGGTAAACATTGAATGTAAAGCACTTTACAGCTGCAAGTTTTACTAACAATGTTAACTAAGGCATCTGGACCATAGCCACGCATGGTGAGCTCTTGAGCAGTAAGAGGATAGGCAAACAATGCATTTGACAGTTCCATATGTTCTCGCAATAATTTTTTAGCTGATGGAACAAGGGTTGTAAAAAAGTTATCTGACTCCGTACGACGCTCATGGAACCGCCGTGACAATGTCCTCTGGATTGCATCAAAAAGGGCAACTATTGGAAACTCTCTTTCTATTAACAACTTTGAATTTATGGACTGAGCTATGTTCGTGGTCATGACATCAAACCTTCTTCCAGGAAAGTAAGCTCTACTCCATCGCTCGAAACCAACATCATGCTCAAGATACTTAGCAACTCTATCATCCTTGATTCGAATTTGCCGGAAGTGTTCCTTGAACTCATCAACCCGATAAGCTTTTGCTGCCATATAGTATGTCTAAAGAAGGCCAGCACACTTACACTTTTGTTTTATGTTCTCACCAAGGTGCCTCATACAGAATCCGTGATGTGCTTGAGGGTAAATAGTGGCAATCCCCTTCTTTATAGAGTTGCGCCTATCGGATATTATGCACAACTCGTCACTGTCAGGCACTATCGTACGTAATTGCTGAAAAAATCAAGTCCATGACTTGTCATTCTTAGAGTCAATCACACATCATGCAACGGGATATGTGTGATTCTCACTGTCCTGTGCAGTGGCCACCAACAATGTACCTCCATAGTTTCCCAACAAAAAGCAACCATCAACAGCTAACACCTTTCTCATGTTTACAAAACCCTTTATAGCAGAACCGTAAGCAACAAAAAAATATTTAAACATCATAATCTTGTCTCACTTCAAAGGCGTCTTGCTACCTTGGTTTTTCAACTCAAGCATATAACGGTACGCTTCTAATACTACGTACTCGTGCTCCCATGTGCCCCTCACAAAATCTTGTGCATGTTGTCTCCCTTTCCAGCATTTCCACTAACTAACAGCACATCCCAACTTTGTTTGCACAAGTCTCTGAATGTCTTTAGGAGATGGACCTTTCCCTTCAAAGAACTGACTTTTGACAAATTATCCAATAACATCAGCGGAGGCTTGTCGATGCTCACCTGAAATATGTCCCAAACCACATGTGTGCTCACGAGTATATATGCTAAGAATAAATTTTTTGTACTCTGCCAATCTTTTACAATAAACCCGCCACTTGCATTTTCGGTCACAACATGCAACCGTCACAACCGATGAATTAGACTTTTTGGTGATGAACTCAAAATTACCTCTCACGGCAGCTTCCTCACCGCTTCCTCTTTGTTGTCAAATAAATACCCTATGCCCAACTCCGATCCATCTATAAAAACATGAGCTGATTCACTATTACCTGCAATTGCCCCATCTAAACCTGCATAAACAACCATAGTGTTCTCTCTCTCATAAACTACACCTTCTGTATAATTTTTATTTAAAGGAATCTCTATATCTGCGGGAACATGTATGGGGTCCTCCTCCTCAACATTTTCATTCAGTCGCACATGACCAACCTCTTCTACAATGTCCTCCTCACCACCCAAATCACCGCCTACTCTTGATTTTTCAACTAACAAATCAGTGCCCTTGTAGTTCAAATTAAAACCAACCAAATCTCCGCCAACTTCCTCATTATCCCCTTCCTTTGAACCAACTTCCAATGGTTTATTCTACCAAACAAAAAAAAAAAAAAAAAAAAAGAACCTTAAAATCGGTCTCGAACCATTATCGACCACATCAATCATAGATAACTTCACACTTTCATCCAACTTTAATATGGCAGAAGGTACCTTATAATGTTCAGAAACTCTTCTTAAAACATACTTCACAACTATATCGCTACATGAGCAACTCAAATTACCTCTTCTAATTATTTCATCAATCAACTCATCAAAACTAACCTCTATGCTCACAGCAATTGATATAACTTTTTTCCTCTTCCCAATCCACTTCCAACAACTTTCTTCCTCCACCCACTTAGCAAAATATTCAACACCCAAAACAACTTGTCCCATGTCTAATAATAGCCAAGTACCTATAATGCAATAAAAAAAATATTATTAATTGATGTATTAAGGGTTGAAAGATTTTAAAAAGCATCTGCAAAGTCGCTTGAGCGATCTGGTGTACCGTTTAAGTGATCTGGTATATCATTTACTAAATGTCTTAAGCGATATAATGGATTGCTTAAGCGATCCAATATAAATAAGTCTGATCGTTTAAGCAATTTTATGCCATTTACCTGATCGTTTAATCAATATGCTGCTATACACCAAACTTTTAGTAGATCACTTAAGCAATCTTCTATCATATGCTAGATCGCTTAAGCGATCCATCATGTCCATAACACATTTTCAGTTATCTCCACCTACAATCGGTGTTACCGCCCTTAGCGATCCACAATGCAAGAAAATATTGAACAAATTTCACTCCTTTCAACTTCCATTACATCAAATACAACCCAACAACCTAAACAACTAAATCAAAATTATAACTCAAACCCAATCCATCCTTAAATCTTTGTAAATCGAAATATAAAATGGAAATAGGAGATACACATACCTGGATGAAATGTCAGGAGGAGAAGGAGAATCTGTGGCGGAAAAGATGTTAACGGCAGAGGAAGAAGATAGTGTTAATGGCGGGAAGAAGAAGATGTATAGGACGGAGGAAGAAGAAGATGTATAGGAAGAAGAAGAAGACGTAGACGAAGTTTACAACCACAGGAGGGATGTGTTAATGAGGTAGGAGGAAGAAGAAGAAGGTGTTTGGGTTTGTTTGTAAGAATTTTGGTTCTTTAGGGACACATTATAATTTTTAAAAGATTCCACGATACTTCATTAATCATAATTAACCCCTAATCATATTTAATTAAACTTAATAAATGACAAGATTATTTATTTAACACTTTTAAACTATATGACCTTTTAATTAAATTTCAACTTTATGTGACCTTTTAATAAAATGACCCGTCGTTGAGGTATGAGTTTATCAACTGAAAAATAAATGTGAGAAGCACTCGGCTATCCTGACACTAATATTGTACTTTAGTTTATAGTTTGGCTATTCTGAAAACTTTAAAGTTTTAAGTGGTCATTTTTTTATTCTTCAACACTGTAAGAGTGGCGATATTCCAGAACCATTCCATTTTGCTTCGTCGCCATCAGTACTTCCAAGTTCCAACGGGCTTACTTCCTGAGTCCCACTAAAACGCTGTAAGAGAGCAACTTTTTGCCCACCCTTAGTCCTTCGTTTGTCTCATTTAGTCACCCTGGGTCCATCAATAATTGTTCTGCAGGAAAAATAAAAATTTCATGTTTCTACTTTCTTCTTGAAATAAAGTTGTTTATCACCTGAAATTTTTCTTCTTGTTTGTTGTGGTATGGGTAAACATATATCTCGACTTGCAAAGAGGTTTTTCCCCCAGTGTAAAATTAGAATTCTGATGGTGGGTCTTGATGCTTCTGGGAAGACAACCATTCTATACAAGCTGAAGCTTGGAGAAATTGTTGCAACTGAACCAACAGTCGGTATGTTAATATGCGTTACAAACTCTTAAATTTAATAATTTCTTTGGCTTCTCTACATTGTTCAGTATCTCTCTTACTATGTCGGTTTTTCATATCTCTCATATTTGGGTATCCATGGCTGCCCCGGATACAAATAAGTGGCAGAGTCAGAGTCGAAAAGAAAATTATCTACTTCTTTCTCCTTTAAAACTGTGCATGAGATTCTCATTTTTATTCACTTCTTTCTCATCTAAAACTGTGCATGAGACTCTCATTTCGCATGGCTTCTAAGTGATAAAAGTAAAGAAGAACTCATCTTCTTTATTTTTTTATTACCTTCCTCACTTAGGTATAAGATCAAATCTATTCGATTTCTAAAATGGATTACTAAACTAATCATTAACTTTTCGAGGAATCCTTCATTAGTGGTTGTGAATGATTTTTCTCCATCTTTTCGACTTTGGTTCCGTAGGAGCCAGTCAGAATAAGATTGAGAAATATAACCATCTGATTTGGAAAATGCAGACTCAGCTTTATAGCAGTGATAGAAAACTAACCCAATAACCGAAAATGGTCAAGGAACAATAATTTCGTTTGCTATTAACTCATTGTGATTATAGGCTCGGTATACTCAGAGCTTCTGGGACAGCTTTCTACATAAGTAATTGTGATTTTAAGATGCTCCACCCAAAAAAAATTCGTTTAAAATTCATTCCCTTTGAACTTTACCATCTAATTTGGTTCATTGTTTTGTTTATGTTCCATGCCAGGTTTTAATGTAGAGACTGTTGAGTACAAAAACATAAGCTTCTCTGTCTGGGATGTAGGAGGTCAAAGTCAGGTAAACATAAGCTAATGTCATTTGCTTCATTATATACATATAAAGATTTGATCCAGTAGTTAACCGGAATTCAATCAAACAAATCTTATAATAGTATTTCGACGAAAGGTGAACTGAAGTTTCAAAGAAACGTACAAGCCACAGAAAAGCAAGGAAATAACAAGAATACTGTTATTTAATGTTTAAAATGTTCAAAAGATTAGTTTTGTTCCCACAAAAGTATAATTTCCTCTTAAAACAAGTTGAATACTTCGTTTGATTGATATTGATTGCTGCAATGTAGTTGTGGTTGCATTTCCTTGATGAAAAAGACAATAAAAGAAGGAAGTGTAAAGTTTGATTATTATCTTGCGATTGGGTTAGTAATATTATAACTGAGGTGCATCTTCTTCCAATTTACTGAACAGATTCGGCCATTATGGAGACATTACTTTCATAACACTCTAGGACTTATCTTTGTAGTGGATAGCAAAGACAGAGAAAGAATCTCAGAAGCCCGCAATGAGCTACATCGGATTCTGGGTGATGTTAGTACTCAATGTTGTGAAAATCAACTTTTCAACTTTCATTTGTCAATACAAGAACAAGCTTTCATTGGAATTTCTTGAGCACTTCGATGGGTTCCCTTCATTTTTCCTTTCTAAATCGCCTATAGAGTCTAAAAAAAATAATCACTTAGGTTTCTCTCCGGTGTAATATGTTCTGTATTTTCAGTGATTTTATTTGAACAGAAAGACATGCTTTTCATTCCAATTATGCAGAATGAGCTAAGCAGGGCAACTGTGCTTGTCTTTGCCAACAAGCAAGATTTTTCGGATGCCATGCCTGCTTCTGAGGTTGCTGATAAACTTGGGCTTTACTCTCTCGGCCAACGTCACTGGTAAAATTTACCTTCTACGACCTCCATTTAGTTGAAATACTACAATTAGTAGCCTACAAGCTTCTGTGTTTATATTTTGGAATCTGGTTTCATTCTATTATTCTTTTTATTTATTTTGATTGACTTTGAAGCTTGTATTTTTATACTACGCTCTGTACTTTCTTTCTTCTTTGTTCTTACATGGTTTGTTTTACAATTCTAGCACGGGGGTCCCCCTTGTTATGTTCATTTGTCTCCTCTTGGGGTATATGGTATGGAATTCAGCAGAATATCAAAGAAGCAAAAAACTTGTAATGTATTTACCTAATGTCTCAAGTTGTGCAGCAGGTTCAATCGGCTCGCATAACAGTTACACATCAGACAGTATAAAAATAGATTGATTGATGGCTTTCGTGAATATCTTTTTATAGGATATCCAGAGTACTTCTGCAACCTCCGGCCAAGGGCTTTATGAGGGACTTGATTGGCTATCCAACATATCACAGTGAAGGATGCTAACAGCTCATTCCAGTTTCCTAACAAAGATGAAGGGTTTGGATAGGATAGCTTCAAGATCTACCACTTAAAAGGCCATCCGCTAGTATTAGTGAAGGCAAATCAATAGTCATTCCTAATTTCTCTAACAAAGAAGGGATTGATTAGGATGGCTTCAAATTCTAGCTTTTAAATAAGGCCATCATTTACCACTTAAAGGTCACCACAATCTCTGTGAGGCAAATAATAAGCTCATTCCTGGTTTCTCTAACAAAGAAGGAGTAAAGATAGCTGTAATTCTACCATTTAAATAAGGCCTTCATGTATATAATCCATGCTAAATATCGCAGTCGATAAGCTCGAAAATCCGCACAAATGAAGTTCCATGGCACTTGCTTATCCCTATTGATCAGCAAGCTTGTAAAATAATTTTTTTCAAGCTGCCCTTTGTGCATACATTTAGTTGATTAAGCGAGATACACATAAACTACATACATAGATTTTTAACTACCAGCATATAAATTCAGTCATCTAATTATCTCTGACGTTTTTTTTGCATTTAAAGAATGATGCTACTGAAATCAATGACAGAAAATTGATCACACAAACAATGACGTTTAGATTCCTAACAATTTCTGTATTCAGGATTGTGGACTTTGAAGTAAGCATCTTGGAGTCCTAGTTTCAAAGCATTTGATTAGGAAATTTGATGCAAATCATTAGGGGACCAGCTCACAAATACAATGTATTGAAATTTATAGGGGGCTGCAGTAAGAAATTGCGTTCGATATCTTCTTCATTGATATTCAATCCAAGCAGGATAAGATAACCCATTGACAACAGAAAGCTTCTCTAGAATGGAGCAGAACATGCTACTATTTAATACGACATATAAGATCAATCATATACAAAATTGCAGCCATAACCTTTTCAACAAAAAATATGAATAGGTGTTTGGCCATCGAAAGAATGAAAGTCCATACATCAAGTCAGAAATCCAGATTGAGGTTCAGATGAAGTCTTCGACTTATACCCCTTTTCTTCTTCTTGCAGTTTGTTTTCTTTTCTTTGGGTTTCTCATCTGAAAAAGGTGCTGTGCTCTCAAGTGCTGATGAATGGCAGCCAGTGGATCATGGAAAGCAGAGGTTGAGAACCGTACCAACTGTTTCCCTTCCTTCAATCTGATCAGAATATACATTATCAAGGTCATACAGAAAGTACATGTGCAATAAAACTGAACAACAACCTTAAAATGATGAAATGAAGCACAAACATAGTTTTTTCCTAGACTTGCAATTCAGCTTGAAATCAGTTGCGCAGTGCTTGGCTGAGGAGATTCAGTTCAGGAAGGAACTCTGAGAGAGAGGAGAGGTCATAAGCTTTCAATTTCTTCTGCCGGCTTCTAAGTTTCTTCTTCTGTTAGAAATGAAATACTTTTTTAGCAAACTACTAGCGTCATGGGAGGTAGTAATGTGAAGCATAAGCTTTCCATAGAACATAATAAAAAAAATGAGTATCAATAGAAAAACGAACTACCATGTTCAAAGATTAAAATACACCATAAAACCTAATGATACATAACAGAAGAATTACACAAACAAATACGCAAAGCTAACCACTGTCAAAAGTTTATGAAAGGGTGTGGTTTTCATACTTCATAGACTGCAGAATATCGTATTCATCCCTTGAATTGTCCCCAAAGGTTAACAATTCAACAATGAAAAATTAAAAATGAAAGAATACCAAGATATTAGGTCTTAACTAAATTTGAATGAACATGGTATCTTTTAGATCATAATAAGTTAAAACATTTCATACTATGTGTTGACATAAAACTTAAGTTCAGTTTCCATAAATGCAATGAGGAAATCTGAGGGAACGTCCCTGCACAACATACAATCAACAACCACACAATACAACGACAAAAGAGTGCACAATCAAAGTAAACAGTGCTGGTGTTAAGTTAGAATTTGATTGAAAACAAGAACATGGATAGTTTCCCAGCAGTTCGAGGAGCTGGGGGACCTCCCAATAGCCTAGGAAATATATCATGCCTCCCTCATTCCCCTAGCTTCTTATATACTGATTTAATTCTTATTTTGTAACCAATTGCCAGCTGCGTGTCCACCTCATAAAATAACTCTCTCTGTCTAACAAACTCACACCATTGCACACCCCGTCATTCTCCTAACCAACTCACACACTCTCCTAACAACTCACACCTCAACCCTAATTATATTCCTCTTCCTGCCCTTGGTTTGTAGACTTTGTGTAAGTGGTTCTAACATATCCATCCCCACCCACCCCCCCCCCCCCCCCCCCCCCCCCCCTCTTAAGTGCCACCTGTCTAAGGTGGAATTGAGGAAATTGTGCGTATACTCCTGAGACCCAGTAGCATCAAAAGCAGGCAGATCCTGCCAACGGATGAGAAACCTCAGGGATCCATCCAAAAGGGTGCGCACACAGCAATTCTGCCGGCTGAAATGTAGTTCCAGGTCATCCGTGAGAAAGGAGGGCAGGAGGTTGTAAGGGTACTGAGCTATGAAGGCGGTGTTAACTGAGAAACATGGAAAACGGGTGAAGAACGGGTGGTTCGTGGGAATTCAGCTTGTAGGCCACCTGACCAATTTTCTCCAAGACTTGGAAGGGTCCCATAAAACTGGATAAGTTTCTCATTCAGTCGAGTAGCCAAGGATTTAAATTTGTAGGGTTGGAGCCGAAGATACACAAAGTCTCTTGGGGAAAAGTGGACATCCCATCGGTGGCGGTCTGCTTGCTCTTCATGTGAGTTTGTGCTACTTCCAGGTGGTTTGGTTGAGCTCTGAAGGATGGCATTTCGTTCACGAATCTTGTGGTTCAACTGATCGACCTGGGAGGGGCAGTCGGTAACCTAAGAAGAGTGTGAGGGTCACGTCCGTACAAGCCTTGAAGGGTGTCAACTTGGCGGACTATGATACGTTGTGTTATACAAAATTCTGCCCATGGTAACAATTCGGCCATTGCTGGGGCTTGGAACTGCAGAAACAGCGAAGGTATGCTTAAGCACTATTCACATTCGGATTGCGCCTCGTTTGCGGGTGATAGGGAACTAATTTCAGAGCTGTTGGCTGTCCTGAAAATCTCCTGCCAAAAGTGACTCATAAAGAGTTGTCCCTGTCGGAAATGATGGACTTGGGAACCATGAAGCTACCACTCTTTTATGAATACCAGTGCACATCTTGGCTGATAAGGGTGTGACAAGAGCAGAAAATGGCCGTATTTAGTCAACCGATCACTACCACAAAATGCTATCGAATCTGCCCTTGGGGGCCCAATGAAGTCCATTGTCAACTCGTCAAATGCTTGAGTGGGATAGGCAGGGGCTGGAGTAACCCTGCAGGTTTCAGAGCTGAATGTTTGTTAATTTGACAGATGGAACATGTTTTAACAAAGTCTGTACAGCTCTTCTTCATTCCTACCAGTAAACACTACTGGCAACCCTTATACGTTCGAAAGAAGCTGAATGACCCCCTAATGGACTGGAATGAAATTAGTTAACAATTTTGGGACAAACCGTGAGTCTGAAGCCAGAACCAACCTTCTTTGTATAGTAGCAGCCATGTTTAGTCTATTTTGGGTCTGCTGGGGAGCCAAAACCAAATCTTGAATCAGCTGTCTAAGCTTGGGATCTTGATGGGCTTCATTTGCCAACTCCTCATATTCCGTAAACTGAACCAATGACAAAGAGAGAATTCTGGTTCCTCATCTCTCGGGATAAAGCACGGACCTATTGGTGGTCCGGCCTATAATGGATGTTAAACGAAAACCCCATTAATTTAAACAAACATTCTGCTGTCTGGGGTCTTAATACGTGGTCCTTAGGAATTGGAGGCTCCTCTGATCTGATCGGATGATGAACTTTTCCCAACAAGGGCTATTGTGCACTGCGAACACAACGGCCATTAATTCCCTCTCATAGACTGATTTTTGTTGTGCTTGGGGGAGAAAGCCTTACTCAAATAAGCTTGGATCGGTTTTGTTGAACCAGACAGCCCCCATGCTGTAGCCCGAGGCATCGGTGGAATCTCGAATGGTAAGTTGAAATTGGGAGTGACAGGACTGGGACCGTAGTCATAGCAACTTTTAATGCATTAAAGGCCTGCTGGGCCTCTGAATCCCACTTAAAGGAGTGTTTTCTTCAGGAGCCGTGTGAGGGGTTGAGTTATACCGCCGTACCCTTTTACAAATCTGCGGTAATATCCTGTTAATCCCAAGAATCCCCGGAGGCCTTCACATTAGTGGTTGGGCCATGAAATCATTGCTTCAATTTTTTAGGATCAGCTTCGACTCCTTCAGCCGAGATAGGTGACCTAAATACTCCAGTTTGGGCTGCCCGAACAAAAATTTTTTTTATCATCATCACCAGTTCATCTCGTCCAGGATCCTAAAGACTGCCGAGGTGTGTGATGTGGGATTGAAGTCCGAGCTGATATCAGAATATCTCAAAAAACACCAGTACAAACCTGCGCAAAACCGGCTTAAGATGTTGTTCATTAGTGCCTGAAATGTAGAAGGTGCGTTGGTCAAACCGAACGACATAACCAGAAACTCGTTAGTGACCTTATGTGTCCGAAAAGCAGTTTTGGGAATATCGCATCTTTAATTTTGATTTGGTGGTATCCTGACCGGAGATCCAGCTTAGAAAAGATGGTGCCCCTGCCAATTGGTCTAGCAAACCCTCGATGGTGGGAATCGGAAACTTGTCGGGAATTGTTATTGTTGAAGGCCCAATAGTCAACGCAAAAACCTCCAACTACCATCCTTTTTTGATAATAACACTGGGCTAGCAAATGGACTGGTACTAGGCTGGATAAATTGGCTGTCAACATCTCTTCCCCAGTTTTTCAATTTCATCTTTGGAAATATGGATACCTATAGGGTCTAATGTTAGGGGTTGGAACATCTTTGAGGGGAATGGTATGGGCGTGGGTGCAATGTGGAGGGAGTTTGGTTGGTGGTCGAAAAGGTGCGGATTGATCCAAAACTGCCCAAACATCAGGATGACACTCAACCTCCCCCTTGGGGTAGTAATTCTTTCATAGAAAAAACTCCACCAGGAATCCTTCCCCGGCGTTGTTAATGGACCGCAACATGGATTCAGGGAGACCTTTGACTTCACAAAAGTGGATCCCCTTGTAAACTAACTCTTTCCATAAATTCTTAGAACCTAATGGTAATTTTACAGGTGACGCACACATCCCCTAAGGAACTTAGCCATGTCACCCCCAAAACAATGTCAGCTCCTCCCAACTCAAAAGGGAAAAAATCCTGTCTAATCTGAATCCCCTGTACATCCAGAGAAACTTGCCGACACACCCCTTCTCCCTTCACTGTGACTCCATTTCCCACCATTACCCCAAAGAGCTTACCCTTTTCCACCACAATACCCAGCCTTTCAATCAACTCTTGCGAAATAAAATTATGTGACGCCCCACTGTCAACCAGCACAACCACATCGGCTTTCCCAATCTGCCCCTTTACCTTCAGGGTTTTGTCGGACGTAATACCCACAATGGAATTTAAGGAAAGAGCCAAGTCAGTACCTTCTGGGTTAGGGATTTCGTCATTTCCCGGTGGAAGTTCACTCTCCTCGGCCGCATCGTCCTCCCAGGCTAACAAAATCTGTAAGGATTTACTTCGGCAGCAATGATTAGGCCCGAACTTCTCGTCACATCGGAAGCAGAGCCCCCTCTCCCGTTTAAACTGAATTTCTGCTTCAGATAATCGCCGGAAAGTTCCCCCTGAACCTCCTCGGAAACCCGTAACTCCATTCTTCGGCGCTCTCTCTCTCCTATCGGGTGCACGCGATGACGCGTTTTGGCTGGATTCTGATAGTTTTGATGAGTTGGGCCACCACGTGGGTCGGGTCGAGTCGGGGCTACTGGGTACTCTTGCTGGGTTGGACCACCATGCGGGTCGGGTCGGGTCAGATCTGGGCTATTGGACACTCGGGTATAACTCTCTTTGGCTCCCTGGGTTTTGAAAGGCTTGGGCCGACATCTATCCATGACCCAGTTTTTTTCCTCCACACGATGGGCCTGCTCAATCAGATCCTCAAGGGACTTGGGCCTTAACAATCTCAGTTCAGCTCTAATTTCTTCCTTGAGCCCGTTAACAAAAACACCCATCAATAATTCTTTCCCCAAATCCTTCACCGGTGCCGTATGGGATTCGAAATCTTCTCTGTACTCAGTCACGGTGGAGTTTTGCTTCAGCGCCACCAACGCTTCATGTGCAGATCCTTGGAACGACGGCCAGAATCTTGCGATTACGGCTGCCTTAAGCTCTTCCCACGATTTGAAAGGCTCTCGGCCCTCCATCCATTGGTACCAGTTCAATGCTCGGCCTTCCATACATACTGCCGCGGCCTCCACCATCTCCGATGACCCATATCTGTTAATTGCAAAATAACAATCTGCTCGAAATGTCCATCCAAAGAGGTCTTCTCCATTGAAAATTGGGAGCTCAAGTTTCCGGCCCTTCTTCTCCTCCTCCTCACTTTTCCCGTCTGTTTCTTGGCCTTGTTCCCTATCGTAACCACTGTCTTGATCCCCTGAGGTTGACTGGGACTTCCCTTTCTCGCGGTCACGTCTTTCATCCCTCTCATCTCTCATTCTCATTAATTCTCTCATCTCGGTTAGGAACTCCTTGAGACTGCCAATGTCAGTCTTGACTGAACTCATGTCCTCCACTACCGACTTCATTTCTTTTTCCATACTCTCCATCCAGTTTTCCATTTTTGATTTGACCATTCCCCAGCGTGGGCCTGTTAGTTATCTGGCTCTGATACCAAGCTGATGGAACTCTGATGGAACTTCCCTGCACAACATACAATCACAACAACACACACAATACAACGACCAAAAGAGTGCACAATCAAAGTAAACAGTAGCTAGTGTTAAGTAGAATTTGATTGAAACAAGAAACAATGGATAGTTTCCCAGCAGTTCGAGAAGCTGGGGGACCTCCCAAATAGCCTATGGAAATATCTCAATGCCTTCCCTCATTCCCCTAGCTTCTTTATATACGGATTTAATTCTTATTCTGTAACCAATTGCCAACTGCGTGTCCACCTCATAACAATAATCTCTCTCTGTTCTAACAAACTCACACCCATTGCACACCCCGTCATTCTCCTAACCAACTCACACACTCTCCTAACAACTCACACCTCATCACCCTAATTTCTATTCCTCTTCCTGCCCTTGGCTTTGTAGACCTTGTGTACAGGTGGTCTAACATGCAACAACTGCAACTTCCCAATGAGAAAAGTAGTGAATCCTTGACAAATATAAGACTACAAGATCAAGTAATTAGAGTTAGTAGGATAAACAAAGAAACAGAATTTGAAAGATCACCTTAGTAATAGCCTTTTTGGCAACAGTATCTCTAACCTCTGCATCACAAAAATAATTTTATTCAATGGAAGCAATAATATTAGATAGACTGCTTTTACTACACACAAGAATTATACTAACATAGATATTAAAAGCATTCAATGTGGAGTGTTTCAATCAAACTCAAATGGGTTTTTGTAAATTTCTAATATCAACAAATAATCATGCACGAATAGAGTATACATTACATTGAATATAATCAAGAAGAATTCAAACTTACTGGCATAAAATTCTAGTTTCTTTTCGAATTTACGGTCCGCTTTACTTGATGACTCGGCTCTGCATCAAACATTCAAATAAAAAATCATAAAAAATGAAAAAATAAAAAGCAAGCTAAGCAAATTTTATGTGGCGGCAAATGAAACCACAAACTTATTAAAAATCCACCAAAAATTGTTATAAATTTACCTAGCACTAGACTTGCCCATGTTCGTAACTTGGAGTGAGAACGAAGTTATTCGTCTGAGAAGTTAGAAAAAATATTAGGGTTTATTATTATATAATCAAAACTCTCAGACGGGCAGGGGTTTTACGCTGCTCGTTGTTCGGAGGTATTAGTTTATCCACTGAAAAATAAATGTGAGAAGTAACCCATATTGACACCTTGTAAGGACCATAATACCCTTCCGCACTATGTATTTTTGTGAGGGTGCACCTGCTCCAGACACTAATATTGTACTTTAGTTTATAGTTTGGCTATTCTGAAAATTTTAAAGTTTGGTGGTCATTTTTTTTTCTTCAACACTGTATGAGTGGCTAATTTTACAAAGACTTACTTGTAAGTTCTGACTTCACATCGGCAAATTCGAAATAATCTGCCACTCCCGAAAGGACTACATTGATTTTGCTGGCAATTCTTTGAAAATTTTAAATTGGCTGAGCTCTCTAACTTAAATTCCGATTTGAAATCTTACGCATTTTCATATAAGGGAATCAAGAAACAACCCCAACATCGTCCAATCTTAGGTATGTGTATCTTCCAACGTAAGATTGTTTCTTTGTTAAATTTTGTTGTATTCAAAATGTTAAATGAAATGTCTGTAAGATGTATTGTGATACGGTTTGACGATTTTTTGGGGGAATTTGTGTTCAAGGGATATGTCTGGCTGCCAAATTATTATTATTAGTTTTCTATCTTTCGCAATTTAAGGTGGTGTGATTTGAGAACAGTAAAAAAGAATGGCGGGAGGCGAGGAATTTGTTGAAGCAGACAATGCAGAGGCAATTATCACGAGAATCGAACACAAATCTCGCAAGATCGAAAGCTTACTAAAACAGTAACATCTTTTTAACTTTCTTAATCTATAGAATTTTTAAGAACAAAACCCTAACCCTAACACTAACGCTTATATTGGAATTTCAAGATCAGGTCTAAGCCAGTAGAGGCTCTTAAAACTGCCCTCGAAGGCTCACCTCCCAAGACTCAAGACGAGCGGTGCAAGGTTGTCTACATTTCCTTCCTTGCCCTTTTTGGCAGTTGTTTTTTTAATTATGATTGTCATCTTGGATTGAATTGGGGGTTTGGTTTTGGTTTTGCAGTCAGCAAATTGGATAGTGGTTCATAGGGCAATTATGGCTATTAAAGATGTCGATGGCATGTTCTCTTCTTTGGATCCTGAGTACTATGATATTCTAATGAAGTAAGTCCTTTCGTTTCTTAATTTGTTTGATCTATATCACTTATTCTAATTATGTTTTTGCAGTTAGTTTAGTCTCGCTGTGTTGTCTATGTAGTTTCTGTAGCTGCATTTATACATTTGTTGCTAATTCAGGCTATAGTTGTTTCTATTTCGCACTTGTCATAGCTTGGCTTGGTAATTGAGAAATCTTAGTGTTCATGTATGTTTTATAATCGAGTATCGGGTATATCCAACAACATTGGCATAGTTGTTGTGGTAGCCATATTCGTGCTTTAGTAGATTTATTCTGTTGCAGAGTATCTGCTACTTTATATGAATATTTACTTCTTGTATGAGTTAGTGAAATGTGGTAATCAGTCAGGTGGATAAGATTATTTCTTTGCAAGAAGCTTATACAAGATACAATTCTTTGTTAGTCAAACATAGGGGTTAGTATGATTTTGTCTTGTATTTCTTTGGTATTTATGGTCCTAATTCGGAACGTAGCGTCCTTTTGGGAAGAGTTGGCTTGGCTGTTTTACTTTGTAGAATGTGGTGATGTGATGAGGTGGAATTTCAATTTAATTAGATTCAGTTCAGAAAATCTACTGGCAGAAGAATCACTAGCAGCACGAGTGATTTTTATTCTTTCATCATAGAAATTAATTTATGAGATCCTTCATGGAGCTAGAATTCTCTTGGATTTATTTATTAACTTCATCTAATATAAACTTTGGGGAGATTTGAAAAGAATGTAATGATTCTTGCTATAACATACCCCATAGAGGACCTTTCTAGCATTTTGCAGGTTTTATGGACTTTTGTGTTGCTGAGTGTTGTATATTGTTTCAAGGATTGTAACAATTTCCAAATCTTGTCACGGATCGTGATCTACAGGTACCTTTATAGGGGTTTGTCTACAGGAGATCGCCCCACTTGTGACCAATGCCTGCGAATACATGATAAGCTGACTGAAAGAGCTGGTTTGGGATGCATACTCCGCTGCCTTGCAGACACGGTGAATACAGTTTGATCTTCATTACTCCTAAAATATAAACTTCTAAGGAATCACCTGCCCATGTTTTTGTTCTTATATGTATGACCAATGCAGATTATAGTTCACCATTGTAATTGTGAAATTTTCATTGACACTCTGTGCAGAAGCTTTCTACTTGTTCAAAATATTTTTTCCCTTTGGAAGTTTACTTGATATGATATCAATTATTTCTGTTTCATATTTCCTTGAGCACTTTTTTGATTCCTTAAATCTTCATGCTGCAAGCCACTTGCAAGTTCTTTCTTTTCCTTTTGGTCAGTTGCCGTCTGCAGTTACCCTCTAACAGAGGAAGAGAAACAAGTTACTGTCTGCAGTCTGCATTGAGGTCTTCACCTGTAAGTTTATTTTATTAACTGATTTGAAATGTTTATGAATTCCTAGATCATTGCAATAAGCGGTTTTAAGAAAAAGAGACATGAGAGAGTAATTTTGAACTGGGATGATGTGAGATTAGCCGCTATTTTAAGGACTTTTTCCAACATTGCTTGTGATTTTGCCTTCCTTGTGGTTGGTTGGGTTAATTTTCTTAAAGCAAGCTGGAACTCTTCATATAAGATACAAAAATCTTGTCTGCATTATGCATATTTAAGCTTTATCTCGAGCAAATCAGACGGTGGTAGAGAAATTTCTTCGTTATAAAAAATAAATAAACAATGTAGCTGATTCATAGATGCTCATCGAATATAGGGTTTACGTTAAGATGAACTATTGGGGAATGTTAAAAGAATAAGCATCTTGACAGCTGGTATTTGTCACATTTGAGATTTTAGTTGAAACAATACTTGCGTAGAAATTCAAAGCTTGTACCTTTTCAGGATGCTTCGGTCTCCTAACAACCTTCATCTATGTTCCTAAATTAATGTATCTTATTGTTATAAAATAATATCAATGCTCAACAGTTGTCTCTTAGGGAAACCAAAATATATATGAAAAATGATATTAGAAACCATTATTATAATTAAGATAAAGATCTTGCCAGCTTAGTCGATAGAGATCTAGTTGAAAGAATCTCACTATAGTCTAAAGAACTGATATTTTTTAAAATGGGTTATATTCTAAATAATCAAATGGACCCATCAATTTATGAATATTAATAAATAGGGAAAACTTGGCTCAAAAAGGATATCTTAAAGTTTTCCATTTTTGGGATTAATAACCTGTGCATTGTTTAAGACACCTCAATTCAATTATTCAGGTGTTGTCTATTTAAATTTGTTAATTTGTGTAGGGCGTATATTAAACTTATTAGAAAATTATCTTTGGGTGACCGAGCGGTTCGATAAAGACTTTTGGGTGTATTACTCAAGAGGTCAAAAGTTCGAGTCCCTCATTGGATGATAATAGGGATAGTCATTGAAGTTCTTATCCGGCCGATAGTTTCAGGGTTTGAGGGATTAGTTGAGGTTAAAGGTGGAAAAGCAACCGCCCGGCCCAACCCAACCCAACCCAACCCACGGTGGGTTGCTGCAAATGGCGGGTCGGTCCTGACCCGCCCGACGACATTGGCGGGTCGGGTTAGGCCCGCCAACATTAGAGAATTGGCTGGTCCAACCTGGACCGCCAACCCTAACCCGCCGAGTTAACCCGCTTTTTGACTTTTTTTTTTTTAAATTTTGTTTTGTTTTATTTTATTTAAGTTTAAATGTTTAATTAACTTTTCAAATGAATAATTTATAATTTATAAATGTAATTGTTTTTAGTTAATTGTTAATTTCTTTTCAAATGAATAATTAACAATTTATAAATGAATAAATGTAATTGTTTTTAGTTAATTGTTAATTTCTTTTCAAATATCAATAATTAAATTAAATTAAATTTTTTTTGTTAACATTACAAATATTAATTCAATTTTAATACATTAAAATTGTAATATAAGAATAATTAAATTTATTCATTTATTAAAANAAATTTGATGCAAATCATTAGGGGACCAGCTCACAAACAATACAATGTATTGAAATTTATAGTGGGGCTGCAGTAAGAAATTGCGTTCATATATTCTTCTTCATTGATATTTCAATCCAAGCAGGATAAAGATAACCCATTGACAACAGAAAGCTTCTCTAGAATGGAGCAGACCATGCTACTATTTTAATAAGTCGACATATAAGATCAATCATATACAAAATTTGATCAGCATAACCTTTTCACAACAAAAAATATGAATAGGTTTTGGCTCATGAAAGAATGAAAGTCCATACATCAAGTCAGAAATCCATAGATTGAGGTTCAGATGAAGTCTTCGACTTATCCCCCTTTTTCTTCTTCCTTGCAGTTTTGCTTGTCTTTTTCTTTGGTTTCTCATCTGAAACAGGTGCTGTGCTCTCCAAGTGCTGATGAATGGCAGCCAGTGGATCCACCTGGAAAGCAGGATGGTTGAGAACCGTACTCAACTGTTTCCCTTCCTTCAATCTGATCAGAATATACATTAATCAAGGTCATAACAGAAAAGTACATGTGCAATAAAACTGAACAACAACCTTAAAATAATGAAATGAAGCACAAACATTAGTTTTTTCCTAGACTTGCAATTCAGCTTGAAATCAGTTGCTGCAATTGGTTGCTGAGGAGATTTCAGTTCAGGAAGGAACTCTGAGAGAGAGGAGAGGTCATAAGCTTTCAATTTCTTCTGCCGGCTTCTAAGTTTCTTCTTCTGTTTAGAAATGAAATACTTTTTTAGCAAACTACTAGCAGTCATGGGAGGTAGTAATGTGAAGCATAAGCTTTTCCATAGAACATAATAAAAAAAATGAGTATCCAATAGAAAAACGAACTACCATGTTCAAAGATTAAAATACACATATACAACCATAATGATACATAACAGAAGAATTCCAAAAAACAGAATAACGCCAAAGCTAACCACTGTCAAAAAGTTTATGAAAGGGTGCTGTTTCATACTTCATAGACTGCAGACATATCGTATTCATCCCCTTGAATTGTCCCCAAAGGTTAACAAATTCAACAATGAAAAATTAAAAATGAAAGAATACCAAGATTATTAGGTCTTAACTAAATTTGAAATGAACATGGTATCTTTTCTAGATCATAATAAGTTAAAACATTTTCATACTATTGTGTTGACATAAAACTTAAATGTTCAGTTTCCATATAAATGCAATGATGGAACTCTGATGGAACTTCCCTGCACAACATACAATCACAACAACACACACAATACAACGACCAAAAGAGTGCACAATCAAAGTAAACAGTAGCTGGTGTTAAGTAGAATTTGATTGAAACAAGAAACAATGGATAGTTTCCCAGCAGTTCGAGGAGCTGGGGGACCTCCCAAATAGCCTATGGAAATATATCAATGCCTTCCCTCATTCCCCTAGCTTCTTTATATACTGATTTAATTCTTATTCTGTAACCAATTGCCAGCTGCGTGTCCACCTCATAACAANATTTTATTATAAATTTGTTCACTACTATGATCAACATCCATTAATCTAAATCCTAATAAAGACTTATTTAATTTACATTCATTATCAAAATAATGACTAATCACATAAATATAATTTTGTTTAGCTCTACCACTCCAAATATCGGCAGTTAGAGCCACACTAACATGACAAGTATGCATTTTATTTTTTAATTCTAATTTCATTTTTTTAAACAATTTTATTAAATCATTTCTAGTTGAAGTTTTAGAATAACTTTTAAATCTTGGAAAAAATGAATTTTGAACAAATCTTTTAAAATATTTATCTTCAGCCATATTAATAGTTGATCAGTTACAACAATATATAAAGCTAACTGTTCCATATATACATCAGAATAGTTATTTGAGTTTGATTGTTTTCTCTATTTCCATGTTAATTAATATGTTTATTAGCATGCATTTTTAAAGTACTAGTACCATTACCTGAATCAGCTTTATAAATATTTCCACAGTATTTGCATCTCGCTTTCTTGACTTGAACGTCATTTTTTGTCTCGTAAAACTTGTCAAAATGCGCCCAAACGTCCGATGTATGTCTGTCTTTGCTTCCGACGGCAGTAGATGATCCCGCCTCAGCTTGAGATGAAGTTTGACGAGCACGACGATTACGAGGACGACTTCTAGAACCACCGGGAGCTGTTGGAATGGGGGGCATAGTTTGAGGTGTATCGGATTCTGAGAATGGGAAAGCGGGACTATTTGAATCTCCTCCTATATTTATATTAGTAAAATCAGCGGGATTAGAACTAGGATAGTAGTTTCCGTCATCATTGTAATTGATGGGAGAGAAATATCTATCTATTGTAGTTGAAAAAAAAAATTGATGTAGAAGAAATAAAAATTAAAGAAAGAGAATTGGAGTATGGAAATTGGAATTTGGAAAATTGGAAATATGAATTAAAAATTGGAAAAACTGATAAAAATTAAAATATGAGCAAATTGCAAAAAATAATAAATGAATAATTGAGAGATTAGAGATTAGAGAATTTGAGTTGTGAGAAAAATGTGAGAGTTTAGGGCCAACTTATAGGAAAAAATGGGAAAGAAAAATGACGAAAAAGACCCCTCCAACGGCTATATTTCAAGGGTAAAGGGGTAATTTGAAAAATAAAATAAAATATTAATTTTTTTTATTTTTTGGGTTGCACACCAGGTCTCTTGCAAAAGAGACAAAACACCCTGCGGGTTGCCATTGTGCAACCCGACCCGCCCAAGGGTTGCTGCCGGGTTAGGGTCAACCCAGACCGCCATCTTGGCAGTTCGGGTTTAACCCGCATTTTTTCGAGCCGGGTTAGGGTTGACCCGCCTAACCCGGCCCAAATTTTCCACCTCTAGTTGAGGTGCACGTTGGATTGCATTAATTGGATAATGAACTAGCTAACATTTTATGCTAATATGAATCAAATAAATTCTTACAATTCATAATTTAGAATAATATCGACTCTGTTTGTTTCCCCATTCTAAGACTATCCCATTCCACTATCATATCCTAAAAAATGAAAAATGTGTTTGTTTTTATATTCTTTCAAATCCAATTATATTCTATTCAACTCAAAATATTAACAATTACCTTTTTCAATAAAGGTTTTAAAATTATCAAAAACACCCCCATCCACTTAAGCCACTCACCTGCTAGTAGCTATCGTTGTCGTCGTTGCCATCGTCGATCCCCGACATCGTAACGACACAAGACGGACTAGATCTGACCGGTTGTGTGTCGATAGCCGATCGTGTACCATTCCAACGACTTCCAACCATCGTCTAGCGGTGATAGCCGGTTGCTAGCAATTATTGGATGAGTGAGGGTGTTTTTGTTAATTTTAAAACTTTTACTAGAAAAAATAATTGTTAAATATTTTGAGTTGAATTAAATTTTAAATAATATTAAAATAAACACTTTTATTTTTATTTTTTAAGATATGATAGTAGAATATGATAAGATGAAAAATAGTGAAACAAAAGGACCCGACATAATAATTTCACTTTTCGAAAATCTATTGACCAGATCAATTGAATTATATTTTAAAATCCCAATTCGAACTCTTGGAAATGTGCTATCAGAATGGGATTGTTTAAATTGCATCAGGGATTAAAACGAATTATTGAACAAAACATAGTTGTGAATTCTTACAATCGCAGGTATTTTCCTCCTCTTCTTATTTCCTTCTTCATGGCTTTATTTGACTCATTATTGGATGATTTTTAGAATAGTATTTTAAAAAAATTTGAATTATCTTTATAAGAAAAATAATTATATAATATTTTATGAGATAAATAAAATATATAAATTTTGAGAAATTGAATAAATGTATTTTTTCTGCTTAACTCTATTGAAAAAATCAGAATAGTATTTAAAGAGTCTTAGTAAGCGGAATACTCGTACGCTGTTTAAGGAGTTATAATAGTGAATGACCCAATTTTGTGCCTTGCTTTTTGTAGGGCACATGGTTCGGTTGGATTCGGCAAAACATGTGCACTTGTAGGCGTTCATTTAAGATTTTATCTTGTTTTTTACAGTTGACATTGATCTCTTTGGTTGCTTTGAGATGGGCCACAGTCTCTATTTCCAGTTGCTGACAGCTGATTTACGGAGGACTTGAGTGGGGTATCTAATTCTCCACTCATTGTGGAATGTGGACGACCTGCATTTATTTATGCTCCTGCTAAAGTAATTTGCTTTTACCTCTCTTTCTCTTTTGCTTTCATGAGCTACCACCGCCCACCTTCTTTAGCTCCTAAAAGCGTTTTCATTGAGAAAATGCCTAATCAATGATACAGAGGGTAAAGAAGAAAGCAAAGTTACTTTCAAAATTTTTTTTTTAGTGGGTTTTGATTCTACTACCATCTTCTGATCATGTCTTCTTAAGTTCTTATTAAAATGCTATATACGTAGGCGTTAATACACGTGTTTAAATTTGATCCTCTATTGTATTATCTAATTAATACTCTAGATTTACTTTTTCCACTGACTAGGATTGGGAATTTATGTGGTATGTACCATGTTTATAAAACCCAGCCTAGCCCGACCGATTCAACCAAGACCCACGTCGGAGCCTTCATTGAGTCGGGTTACAATTTTTCTTATTAATTAAAAACCCTAAAAATTAGGATATCAATCTATAAACAATTGAATGTTGGAATGTTAGAGCTTTTGAAAAAGAATGGTGGGGTGAGTGCAAGGTGGTGACGGCGATGATTCTGATGAGTGAATTACGAAAATTACAAAATTATGTCGTCGGAAAAAGCCCGTTGTTGTCGGCGATTGGGGTGTGAACGGGGGAGGGGTGACATGGGTTGTTCAGAGACTGAAGGGAGTGTTGTCGTTGCGGGAAACAGCCCTATTTGCTGACCGATGATGGTGTTTGGGGTGTTTTTACAAGACTTTAAACTTATAAACTTATATTATTTTTCAACAAGCTACGGACCCCGAAAAATTTGCACCAAAAATATGTCCCGGCTACGTGTACCAGACGCCTGATTTTTCTATCAATTTTTTTCTAGTGAATGGCCGTCCTTAAATATAGACGGCCGTTCACTCACATGAACTCCCGTCCATTTATATGGACGGCCGTTCATATTATATGGACGGCTGTTCACTCACATGAACTCCCGTCCATATTATATGGACGGGGTCCATATACCAAGGGAGGGCGTCCCCATTTAAAGGACGTCCGTCCATAAATAAAATATATAAAAAATTTGTAAAATATAGGGACGGTCGTCCATTACTTTGAACGGGCACCCACAATAATGGGACCCCTCCTTGACCCAAATATGAAAAAAAATAACAATTTTTTTTTTAAATTGAAAAACATTTAGGATGGCCGTTCCTTCATTTGGACGACGTCCGTAGGAGTGGACGCCCGTCATAATGTAAATATAAAAAAAAAAACATCGACGCCAGTCGATATCCATATCTATGACTAGCATCCAGTTAATCTGTCCAAAAAGCACATACTCAAAGCTTTACATATACTGTCATGAAAAAAAAAAATATTCATTGACTTGCCGGTTTCTTCTGGTTGTTTTGATGATCCTGCACTACCACTACATTCTTCCTCTTGAATAATATCTTCGTCTTGATTTTTCTAAGCATATCAGCGATCGAAACTCGGTTTTGACATGAATGATCCATTGAACTGATCTTCTTAAGGATGGATGGTCGTCCATAATGGATGGACGACCGTCCCTAAGGTTTTGTAAATTTTTTATTGTATTTTATTAATGGATGGACGTCTTTTAAATGGGGACGCCCGTCCCTGGTATGTAGACCCCGTCCACATAATATTGATGGGAGTCCATGTGAGTGAACGATCGTCCATATTTGATGGACGGCCGTTCACTAGAAAAAATTGAAGAAAAATCAGGCACCTAATACCGTAGGCCGGTACATATTTTTCGTACAAATTTTTTTTGTGTCTGTAGTTTGTTGTTAATTTTTTAGGGGTGTTTTCTTAGATTTCACTTTTGAATACCGGGTTGATCCACTGGGAATCTAGGACCCGACCATTTTATCAGGTTTCACCCGAGTTGGTTTTAAAAGTTGTATACTGTTAAAATGGTGAATAAGGCTTGGGAAGCTATAACACTATAAGACAGAGAAAAGTCATAAATCTGTACCGACACCTTCGTATTGAACATTTCACACCACACGATAGCACCTGTTGCAGCCTATTTTCTTTAATCTCTGAAATGTAATATCCTTTCACTTTTGTTTCATCAGACAAATCTCGTTATTTATAAAAAAAAAAAAAAAAAAAAATCGTCACAAGTAGCATCATGCTTTCATCATACCCCCATGAAAAATACAAAACAGTACAAGGCAAAAAGTTCATATAAAACCACAAAGAAAACGACACACATTTTACACAACATTTCAAAGAAACTGTTCACACTCTACTTAATAATTTATAGACTACTCATGTTCTTGAGAAATGAGAAGAGTTTG